CTCCAGTTCTTACAAATCAGGTGTAAACAGAGCCTTACTGCAGTAATCCTGGATCTGAGCCTAATGACAACATTTACATACAAGCTAAAAATAATAAATATTCGGCTAGGTATTCGACCGTAAACGGATGTGTGTAGTGTGTGTTTGAATGAAATGTGTTTCTCTGAATCCAGCATGAGGGCTCAGCCACTGTGTAAACTTTAGATATCAGTTTTAATCAGGCGTTCGGATGTAAGCATGTGTGGGTGGCTTGAACTCAGAGTTACATGTTAAGTGTGGCTATATATTCATACACAAACCCACTTTTTATCCTGACGTACTGTAGGGCGACAGCGTTTTTGAAAAGCACTGTATCTGTTTGATAAATACACATGGTCACACTACCACACATGACCATCGTCAGTGCAGGTTATCAAACGTCTCCAAAATCCTCCCAACAACATTTAATGACATGAAAATAATAATTTAATTTTGTCCTTGTCTCTCTAGGGTCACAATATCTTCTCGAATCTGTCTTCACATGAGTATGGAGAGCTCATGCAGCTCCTGAAACAGTCCATCCTGGCCACAGACCTAACGCTGTACTTCCAGTGAGTCCTGCTGCGCTTATGCAAATAACATCGCAAATCAATTCAATATTCATGTGCCAAATCTACACTATCGTCAAAGGGTTTGGGATCAGCAAGGTTTCTTTTAAAGAAATATTTATGCATTCAGTTAATGAAAAGTGACAGTGAAGACTTTTATAATGTTACAAAAGATTCTTTTTCAAATAAATGCTGTTGTTTTGAACTTTCCCGGTTTCCACATAAATATGAAGCGGCACGACTCAAATCATCATATTAGAGTGATTTCTGAAGGATCATGTGACACTGAAGACTGGAGTAATGATGCTGAGAATGGTCACAGGAATAAATTACATTTTAAAGTATATTCGCATAAAAACAGCTATTTTAAATTGCAATCATATTTCAGAATATTACTGTTTTTACTGTACTTTTGATCAAATAAATGCAGCCTTGGTAAGCAGAAGAGAAAACATTAAAAAAAAATTGTACTGTAATACAGTTTCACCAGTTACACAGATAAACAATATTACTTGGCAGAAGTATTGTGTTCTTAAGCATGATATTCTTAATAATAATTATAATAAAAATACTATATAGTATGGAAGCTTGTTTCCGCCACAGAATGAAAAATAAAAAAGGTAATTGCGGCTTTTTATCTCACAATTCTGACTTTTTTTCTTACAATTGCGAGATGTAAAGTCAGAATTGATTGATATAAAGTCGCAATTGCGTGTTATAAAGTCAGAATTGTGAGATATAAACTATTCTGAGGGGAAAAAAGTTAGTCTTTTTTTTCCCTTAGAAGTGGCCTGATAACACGCAATTGCGAGTTTATATCTCACAATTCTGAGAAAAGATGTCATAATTTTGAGATATAAACTCGCAATTATGTGTTATAAAGTCAGAATTGCGAGATGTAAACTCGCAATTGTGAGAAAAAAAGTCAGAATTGTGAGATAAAGTCTCAATTCTGTCTTTTTTCTCGCAATTGCGACTTTATTTCTCAGAATTACGACTTTATATCTCGCAATTGTGAGATTAAAAGTCGCAATTATTATTATTTTTTATTTAATTCAGTGGTGGAAACAAGCTTCCATAAATATAGTAGGGTGACCAACAGTCCTGTTTTCTCGTTCTGTCCTGGCCGTCCTGGCTGTTTTTTATAAAGTGATGAAAATGTCCTGGTTTTCAAAAAACTGCTGGGAAAGATTAGCTCTACTGCAAAATATAGATGGGCAAACAAGGAGGATGAGCAAGAAAAACAGGATAAAGAGGAAGAAAACTAAAGATATAAATATATTTTGTTACTTTTTTGTAAATATACTTTTAGTTATTTATTATTTATATATTTATTTTTCTAATACAGAAGAGACATTATTTCTATCATTATTTTTTTAAACCTGTCATAATAAAACATGTTGAGTAACCTCTGAGAAGCCTATCTGAATTTGTGTCTTGTAATATAACAATTTTCTATCCATACAGAGGAGGCATATCCTACTTTAAATGTATTGAGGCAAATTAATGAGGCATCTTTGAGTAAACTTCGAGTATCATTTGAGTATCTGTTTGCTGGGCCGAGTGTCCTGGTTTTTGGTAATCAAAATATGGTCACCCACCCTACTATATAGCTATTGAGCTTTGCTCTCACCACATTGCAACATGTCTAAGAACAGGCCTTTAATGTAGGGGAAATCGTGACTAGAAATGCAACCTTTTGTCATTTTTTTTATTATATATTTTAAATTAGCTTAAAACGCTTTTGTGTGCATGTGTGTTGAACTGTCCTGCTTCACATTGCAGCAGTGGTTTGGTGATAGGACATGTGCTAACTCTCTTGACCCTGTACTGCCGCCATGTGGCAGGAGTGTGCACTGCACAGAGCTCATCCCGTTTCCATTCACAGGAACAGAAATGCCTTCTTCGAGCTG